GTTCAGTTCTAGTTCAGTTCTAGTTCAGTTCTAGTTCAGTTCTAGTTCAGTTCTAGTTCAGTTCTAGTTCAGTTTTTGTTCAGTTCTAGTTCAGTTCTAGTTCAGTCTAGTTCAGTTCTAGTTCAGTTCTAGTTCAGTTCTAGTTCAGTTCTAGTTCAGTTCTAGTTCAGTTCTAGTTCAGTTCTAGTTCAGTTCTAGTTCAGTTCTAGTTCAGTTCTAGTTCAGTTCTAGTTCAGTTCTAGTTCAGTTCTAGTTCAGTTCTAGTTCAGTTCTAGTTCAGTTCTTTCAGTTCAGTTCTAGTTCAGTTCTAGTTCAGTTCTAGTTCAGTTCTAGTTCAGTTCTAGTTCAGTTCTAGTTCAGTTCTAGTTCAGTTCTAGTTCAGTTCTAGTTCAGTTCTAGTTCAGTTCTAGTTCAGTTCTAGTTCAGTTCTAGTTCAGTTCTAGTTCAGTTCTAGTTCAGTTCTAGTTCAGTTCTAGTTCAGTTCTAGTTCAGTTCTAGTTCAGTTCTAGTTCAGTTCTAGTTCAGTTCTAGTTCAGTTCTAGTTCAGTTCTAGTACAGTTCTAGTTCAGTTAGTTCAGTTCTAGTTCAGTTCTAGTTCAGTTCTAGTTCAGTTCTAGTTTAGTTCTAGTTCAGTTCTAGTTTAGTTCTAGTTCAGTTCTAGTTTTAGTTCAGTTCTAGTTCAGTTCTAGTTCAGTTCTAGTTTTAGTTCAGTTCTAGTTCAGTTCTAGTTCAGTTCTAGTTCAGTTCTAGTTCAGTTCTAGTTTTAGTTCAGTTCTAGTTCAGTTCTAGTTCAGTTCTAGTTCAGTTCTAGTTCAGATCTAGTTCAGTTCTAGTTCAGTTCTAGTTCAGTTCTAGTTCAGTTCTAGTTCAGTTCTAGTTCAGTTCTAGTTCAGTTCTAGTTCAGTTCTAGTTCAGTTCTAGTTCAGTTCTAGTTCAGTTCTAGTTCAGTTCTAGTTCAGTTCTAGTTCAGTTCTAGTTTAGTTCTAGTTCAGTTCTAGTTCAGTTCTAATTCAGTTCTAGTTCAGTTCTAGTTCAGTTCTAGTTCAGTTCTAGTTCAGTTCTAGTTCAGTTCTAGTTCAGTTCTAGTTCATTTCTAGTTCAGTTCTAGTTCAGTTCTAGTTCAGTTCTAGTTCAGTTCTAGTTCAGTTCTAGTTCAGTTCTAGTTCAGTTCTAGTTCAGTTCTAGTTCAGTTCTTTTCAGTTCTAGTTCAGTTCTAGTTCAGTTCTAGTTCAGTTCTAGTTCAGTTCTAGTTCAGTTCTAGTTCAGTTCTAGTTCAGTTCTAGTTCAGTTCTAGTTCAGTTCTAGTTCAGTTCTAGTTAGTTCTAGTTCTTCAGTTCAGTTCTAGTTCAGTTCTAGTTCAGTTCTAGTTCAGTTCTAGTTCAGTTCTAGTTCAGTTCTAGTTCAGTTCTAGTTCAGTTCTAGTTCAGTTCTAGTTCAGTTCTAGTTCAGTTCTAGTTCAGTTCTAGTTCTAGTTCAGTTCTAGTTTCTAGTTCAGTTCTAGTATCTAAGTTCATGTTCTAGTTCAGTTCTAGTCAGTTCAGTGCAGTTCAAGTTCAGTTCTAGGTCAGTTCTAGTTCAGTTCTAGTTCAGTTCTGGTCAGTTCTAGTTCAGTTCGTAGTCTGTTCAGTTCTAGTTCATTCTAGTTCAGTTCTAGTCAGTTCTAGTTCATTCTAGTTCAGTCAGTTCTAGTTCAGTGCTAGTTCAGGTCTAGTTCTAGTTCTAGTTCAGTTATTCAGTTCTAGTTCTAGTTCAGTTCTTGTTCAGTCTTGTTCAATTCTGTTTCAGCTCTAGTTTCATTTCTATTTCGGTTCGCAGTTGAGTTCAAGGCTTAAAATATTAAGGGAAACTCCTCAATGACTAGGGTTTACCCATACATATTTAATCTTTCAAATTAAATCTACATTAAATGCAATTGACTTTTCTACTTTTTGTGTTCACAATTCTTCAAGACATATTGATAAATTGGCAAATTGTAGAACCAACCAGGTAGCCTGGATTCCAACAACACAACAACATTTATCACTCATGACAGTAACTACAAATCATGCGGACGATCTATTAGAGACACTGAAAGAGACATGTAAATTAAAATTGGCTTATTGTGTGATGGTGCGTGTGTGTGGCATTTGGAAAGACTCCCACATTTTCTTGGGAAAATCTAATGGCAGAAAGAATTGAATGTGTTTAAGAAATAAAGCAACAAATTATCAAATAAATTTAATAAGTGATCAAACGTACAAATAAATTTCAAAGTACAACTGCAAGGGAAAACGTTGTTACAATTTTCAATAATTTAAAAGACCGCCAACTGTTTATTTATTTGTTGTAATTTGTGTGGCAAGCAACAGTTAGTAAATCATGGTTGTAATGGCGTTAGTGTTGTCATATGAATTTTACAAGATGTCAACACAAATTGATGAATGTTTCAGTTTGAAATTCAAGTCTTTTCCAAAACCATGATGATGACACAGTTAACGAAAAACAATGTATAAGTTAAAATTTTCCATTGTAAACTGGACTTATGGACTTTAGACTGTCGGAAAATTTGTTATAAAAAAGAAATTTATGGTATTTTAACTAATGAAAAGTAAACCAAAAAAATAAATATTAAAATTTATTTATGTTTTTTTTGTTTCTATTTTATTGGCTTCATTAACACCATCACATATCATTTCTTTCAATTGCTATGCGTGCTTTAAATTTTAAAATAGTTTTGAAAATATATAGAAACAATATTTATTCATATCGTCATTTACAATAATAATAACAACAACAACATTATAGTCACTAGAGTCCACAAAAAAAAAACAACAGTAGCGGGAACAGCAGCAATATATACTATATTGACTCCAATAACAAATAATTGTATTGTTTTGATATAATTTAAATCAGTTTGTGGCGCATTTGAATTTGCAAAAAAAACATATAAATAAATTATATAGAAAAATTCTTGTTTAATAAAACAAAAAAACTCTATTACACACACATCTACATGTTTGTAATAAATAAAGAATTATTGTATTTAATTGCAGCAAAGCATATGTTGATCTATTACACTCGAGGAGAAATGTTAGTAAAAATTTTGAAAAAAGATGTTTTTGTGAAAAAAACTAATGCAAAATGATTGCTTTCGACTGATTTTTTACTGAACTAGAACTGAACTAGTACTGAACTTGAACTGAACTAGAACTAGAACTGAACTAGAACTGAACCAGAACTGAACTAGAAGCGAACTAGAACTGAACTAGAACTGAACTAGAACTGAACTAGAACTGAACTAGAACTGAATTAGAACTGAACTAGAACTGAACTAGAACTGAACTAGAACTGAACTAGAACTGAACTAGAACTGAACTAGAACTGAACTAGAACTGAACTAGAACTGAACTAGAACTGAACTAGAACTGAACTAGAACTGAACTAGAACTGAACTAGAACTGAACTAGAACTGAACTAGAACTGAACTAGAACTGAACTAGAACTGAACTAGAACTGAACTAGAACTGAACTAGAACTGAACTAGAACTGAACTAGAACTGAACTAGAACTGAACTAGAACTGAACTAGAACTGAACTAGAACTGAACTAGAACTGAACTAGAACTGAACTAGAACTGTAATAGAACTGAACTAGAACTGAACTAGAACTGAACTAGAACTGAACTAGAACTGAACTAGAACTGAACTAGAACTGAACTAGAACTGAACTAGAACTGAACTAGAACTGAACTAGAACTGAACTAGAACTGAACTAGAACTGAACTAGAACTGAACTAGAACTGAACTAGAACTGAACTAGAACTGAACTAGAACTGAACTAGAACTGAACTAGAACTGAACTAGAACTGAACTAGAACTGAACTAGAACTGAACCAGAACTGAATTAGAACTGAACTAGAACTGAATTAGAACTGAACTAGAACTGAACTAGAACTAAACTAGAACTGAACTGGAACTGAACTAGAATTTAACTAGAACTGAAGTAGAATTGAACTAGAACTGAAAATTTTTGCACTTAATAAATAATTTAGAAATTTAAGAAAAAACATTCACATTCTTTGAAAAATTTAGAATATTTACAACAAAATTCCTTATAAATACAGCTATAAAATTATTTACATGATTACTCCTATTACATATTAAAATATTTATTGATATTTTATTAAATTGTTCTCTGGAAAAATGTTTATTAAATGAAAATGACTGATTAAATCAAACAATAACTGTAATGAGGAATTTATTTGTTGTAGGAATTATTGAATTCAATTTTGCAATTATTTAGTTCAAGAAATAATTCTGAATAATTTCAACATTTTTGAAATAGAGCAGAGATTTTGATTAATGTTCTAATTCTCCATGGCTGCCAAATACTACAAAAGATATGTACCGATTTTATATAGAAATTCAGGTAGTTAATATATATTGACCTATTAGGGTCAAAAATCTAAAGGTTCTTATACTAAGCATTTCAGATAAACCCAATATTAAACCAATCCAAGGAATACGTCTGCACAAAGTACAAGCTAGATACTCGGGAAAGAAATTGCAAACAAAAGAGACAGATAACTACAGTTACAAATACAGACAGACAGACAGACAGACAACTAACACAGATACTTTTACTTACATACATGCATACGAACATTACAATGCAATCAATTGAAGAAGAGCTGGCTGTAGATGCTCTTCTTTGAAATAAATGAAAGTTCAAATTCAATCATTGTATTCCTCAGAAACCCAAGAAAATAAACAGTAAAACAATAATTTCATTATAATGATATGGAATTTATTCAAAAATAATAAAAAAAACCAAACAGAAATTGTCTATTAAACAGAAGGCTAAAAAAATGTTGCCGCCAGACAGTTACTGTCAAATGCAATTAACAACAACAAGAAGAATAACAAAAACAATATATTGTACTTTTCTTAAGTAATTTACCCCTTGTCGTAAATATTATTAATAATGTCTCTTCTTCCTATCTAAATTTCTTTCCTTTTTAGTGCCGCATCCCAGTACAACAATAAGAAATAGTATAAGTAAACGAAATCATATCAATGACGATGATGATTATAATGAGAATGTAGCAGTGGCACTGGGAGCACCACTTATCATACCTCTTGAGGAGGAAATACAATTAGAAGAAAATAGTGAATATACGATTAATTGTGAAGATACCGAGCCCATCGTTTGGAAATGGCCGGTGAATGTTATAGGACCCGAGGAGAAATCCTATATACCACAAGATCAAAAGAGACGTTATGGCAGTAGTTTGATATTAAAAGATGTCAACTATATGAATGTGGGCACTTATTATTGTGTCAAGTCAAGTGCCTTAACCAAGAATTTAGATACAATGGATGACTCGGAATTAACCGATTTGGCGAATAGTAATTTAGCTTCGCATATCTATATTTATGTGAATGGTAAGTTTGTATTGTTTTGAAGAATAAATACAATATTTTTATTTCATTTTTGTGTTATTCTCATCAGATCAAGAAAATTTACTGGCTCCCATGGCCTATCCCATAACCTATGTCATACAATTCCAGGATGCCGTTATACCCTGTAAACCCTCTATGCCAAACTATGATGTCATTTTAACTACACCCAGTGGTTCGGTAAGCTTTAAAGTTTTTTTTTTACTTGTGCTTAAATAAAGTGCGTTTAAACTTTTGAAGCACTATTATAAAACGCTTTCGCTGTTAAATTTTTTTGCACAGTCACTCGCAAACTTTTTTTCACATATTTTCACTAACATTAGAAAAAGCTTCCTTTTAATACACACTTCTCTAAAAGTTTTTTAGCTTTAAGTCATTTAGAAGAAAATATTTTGAAACTTTAATTTTAAAGTAATTTTAGAGCTTTAAAAGCTATTTGCAATCAAAAGCTTTTGTATGTTATAGAAGACATCAGAACAGAACTAGAACAGAACGTGAACAGAATTAGAACAGAACTAGATCAGAACTACATCAGAACTAGAACAGAACTAGAACTAGAACAGAACTAGAACAACTAGAACAGAACTAGAAACTAGAACAGAACGAATAGAACTAGAACAGAACTAGAACCAGAACTAGAACAGAACTAGAACAGAAACTACGAACTAACAGAACCTAGAACAGAACTAGACAGAACTAGAAAGAACTAGAACAGAACTAGAACATAACTAGAATAGAACTAGAACAGAACTGAACAGAACTAGAACAGAACTAGGAACAGAACTAGAAACAGAACTAGAACAGAACTAGAACGAGAAACTAGAACAGAACTATAACAGCAACTAGACAGAACTAGAACAGAACTAGAACAGACACTAGAACAGAAACTAAACAGAACTAGGAATAGAACTAGAACAGAATAGAACAGGACGTAGAACAGAACTAGAACAGAAATTAGACAGAACTAGGAACAAAACTAGACCAGAATTAAACAGAACTAGAACAGAACTAGAACAGAACTAGGAACAGAACTAGAACAGAACTAGAAACAGAACTAGAACAGAACTAGAACAGAACTAGAACAGATCACTAGAACAGAACTAGAAACAGAACTAGAACAGAACTAGAACAGAACTAGAACAGAACTAGAACAGAACTAGAACAGAACTAGAACAGAACTAGAACAGAACTAGAACAGAACTAGAACAGAACTAGAACAGAACTAGAACAGAACTAGAACAGAACTAGAACAGAACTAGAACAGAACTAGAACAGAACTAGAACAGAACTAGAACAGAACTAGAAACAGAACTAGAACAGAACTAGAACTAGAACAGAACTAGAACAGAACTAGAACAGAAATAGAACAGAAATAGAACAGAACTAGAACAGAACTAGAACAGAACTAGAACAGAACTAGAACAGAACTAGAACAGAACTAGAACAGAACTAGAACAGAACTAGAACAGAACTAGAACAGAACTAGAACAGAACAGAACTAGAACAGAACTAGAACAGAACTAGAACAGAACTAGAACAGAACTAGAACAGAACTAGAACGAACTAGAACAGAACTAGAACAGAACTAGAACAGAACTAGAACAGAACTAGAACAGAAACTAGAACAGAACTAGAACAGAACTAGAACAGAACTAGAACAGAACTAGAACAGAACTAGAACAGAACTAGAACAGAACTAGAACAGAACTAGAACAGAACTAGAACAGAACTAGAACAAACTAGAACAGAACTAGAACAGAACTAGAACAGAACTAGAACAGAACTAGAACAGAATTAGACAGAACTAGAACAACTAGAACAGAACTAGAACAGAACTAGAACAGAACTAGAACAGAACTAGAACAGAACAGAACTAGAACAGAACTAGAACAGAACTAGAACAGAACTAGAACAGAACTAGAACAGAACTAGAACAGAACTAGAACAGAACTAGAACTAGAACAGAACAGAACAGAACAGAACAGAACAGAACAGAACAGAACTAGAACAGAACTAGAACAGAACTAGAACAGAACTAGAACAGAACTAGAACAGAACTAGAACAGAACTAGAACAGAACTAGAATTAGAACAAAACTAGAACAGGACTTGAGAAGAACTAGAACGAACTAATCTATAACTAATCAAAAGTTGAATTGAAAAATCTTTTTAACATTGTCCGTTCGAAACTAGAAAAATTATGAACTAATTGATGCCGTAATAATGTAATAGGTCCCTCATAGACCGATCCGTTTTATATACTTCTTTGAAAGTCAAATTAAGTCAGAAGATTTGCGTAAGCATATATAAATTTCATTAAAAAAATTTCTAGGAAACTAAAGCTGATAGAACGCATCATTTATTCGTCTTATTTATTTTTTTATACCTATACTTTCAAACATTATAACTGAAATCATAATAATATGCTTAAAGCCTACAATTTCATATAGAAAATTAAGGTTTTGAGTTCATAGCAATATCATCCCTCAAAACTTGTAGCTCTAACATATTCATAGCTTTAGCGAAAAATTAACACCTTACCATAAAAATCCTAATCAAGCATCTAAACCGTCACAATAATCAAAAACTTGTCTTCTAGGATGATGAACACAATAATACCGCATTTAGCATACGTTCTTCTAATATCACTTTAAATACTCCCAAAACTCCGGGTTTTATCTACGATAGCATTAGTTATAATCCAAAATTGGGTTTTATCATATATGGTCTAGACACGTGTCCGTCACTACTCTTTTGTGAGGGCGTTTACGGAAATAAAAAGTATGAAAGCTTTTTAACGGTCCATGTCTTGCGTATGTGTTTTTTTTTACAATTTATTTTTCCTATATTTTAACAAAACAAAAAGTATTTTAGTACTAAATGAAATAGTAGTAAAGAAATGTAGTATTTGATTGTTTTTTTTTTTTTTTCTAGCTGTTTCACTGTATCGTAAGAAAAATTTGTCGAAATTTTATATAAAATTAATTTGATAGAATTAGAAAAATAAACATTTTCTACTAACTTTTCTTTCGATATTGTGGAACCGCCTGTTTAAATAAATTCGTTAAATTTTTTCAATCATATTTGAAAAAATTAATTAATTAACAAAATATATATTTGTAAATATATAATTTATAAGAAAGAAAAAATTGTACATAATAAATATGTATGAAGTATCGATTTATTGGTCCTTTTAAAGAACCAATTTTACATATAATTTTAATTTTTATAAATACCTATAATAAATATCGATCTTTCGATGTTTTTATATATCGAAAATGTCATCTTTACGAGTTATTAAAATTTTGCAAAAGGTTATCACCTCTTCTTGTTGTAATTTAATAGCTATTGTCAGTTGAAAGAACACCACTCTTTTCCACGTTTTTAAAATTTTAATTTTTTACCTTATAGAAAGCTTTAGTATCGTCATTAGAATTTTATGTAAAACAATTTGGACAAATATTTTTTCAATATTTTCTAGATTTATGCAAGTTATTCGACAAGCTTCCCCTATTTTATGCAGATTTATCTATGGACTTGCTGTGCTTTTTTTAGAATTTATCGACGAGTTTTTCAGCTATTTTTATACATTAATATATTGAAATTTTAAAGAACTGTATAAAGAAATATTATCGGTCGAGACAAATATGTTTTTATTAAAAAGTTCACCCTTTTATAAGAATTTGTTTAAAGAAAACTTTTCGACTAGTTTTTTTAAATATATTTTTTATAGACTTGAAGAGAACTAGAACAAAACTTGAACAAAACTAGAACAGAACTAGAACAGAACGAGAACAGAACGAGAACAGAACGAGAACAGAACGAGAACAGAACGAGAACAGAACGAGAACAGAACTAGAACAGAATTAGAACAGAACTAGAACAGAACTAGAACAGAACTAGAACAGAACTAGAACAGAACTAGAACAGAACAGAACAGAACTAGAACAGAACTAGAACAGAACAGAACTAGAACAGAACTAGAACAGAACTAGAACAGAACTAGAACAGAACTAGAACAGAACTAGAACAGAACTAGAACAGAACTAGAACAGAACTAGAACAGAACTAGAACAGAACTAGAACAGAACTAGAACAGAACTAGAACAGAACTAGAACAGAACTAGAACAGAACTAGAACAGAACTAGAACAGAATTAGAACAGAACTAAAATAGAAGTAGAACAGAGCTAGAACAGAACTAGAACAGAACTAGAACAGAACTAGAACAGAACTAGAACAGAACTAGAACAGAACTAGAACAGAACTAGAACAGAACTAGAACAGAACTAGAACAGAACTAGAACAGAACTAGAACAGAACTAGAACAGAACTAGAACAACTAGAACAGAACTAGAACAGAACTAGAACAGAACTAGAACCAGAACTAGAACAGAACTAGAACAGAACTAGAACAGAACTAGAACAGAACTAGAACAGAACTAGAACAGAACTAGAACAGAACTAGAACAGAACTAGAACAGAACTAGAACAGAACTAGAACAGAACTAGAACAGAACTAGAACAGAACTAGAACAGAACAGAACGAACTAGAACAGAACTAGAACAGAACTAGAACAGAACTAGAACAGAACTAGAACAGACTAGAACAGAACTAGAACAGAACTAGAACAGAACTAGAACAGAACTAGAACAGAACTAGAACAGAACTAGAACAGAACTAGAACAGAACTAGAACAGACTAGACAGAACTAGAACAGAACTAGAACAGAACTAGAACAGAACTAGAACAGAACTAGAACAGAACTAGAACAGAACTAAGAACTAACAGAACTAGAACAGAACTAGAACAGAACTAGAACAGAACTAGAACAGAACTAGAACAGAACTAGAACAGAACTAGAACAGAACTAGAACAGAACTAGAACAGAACTAGAACAGAACTAGAACAGAACTAGAACAGAACTAGAACAGAACTAGAACAGAACTAGAACAGAACTGGAACTAGAACTCCTTGAGTTAGTTTTAAACCATTTTAATAGAGAAGTTGACGCATTCTCTCTTTTCTCCCTGATTATGTTTCGAATAATGCTGTACGTCAGTTTTAATAGGACTTTTTAATTTTATTGGACAAGGATTTCTTCCACACAAATACACTCTCTCTCTCACACACACACATACAAACATACACTTTTAATAAGCTGGCTTGCATTAATACTTATATTTTTGTTCTCTCGCTCTCACGCCAACACTAAGCTTTCTCTCCCAACTTTGCTTGCTAAAAAACGACAATTTTTAAGTCTAAATCAAATTTGTTTTTTTTTATAAATATTTACGATATTCTATTAAATTATTTAGACCTATGCCAGTAATACCGGTATACGTTATAATCCACGTTTGGGATTTGTCATGGAAATACGAGGTTTTGAAGATACTGGCACCTATATCTGTCGACCGAAGATACCAGCACCGTCCAACGAGGAGGAACAAACGGAAATTGATATTATTTTGGGTAACAAAGTCAAAGATCGTGAGTTTTGCACCCCTGTTTTGTGCTTGTTTTCCGTCTCTTTTTTTTAAGTTTTCTAATGGTCTTTTGAGTTAAATGTGTAAAAAAAAACAATGGTTGATTAATGGATTAAGAGAAAAAAAAAAGTATTGCACACACTGTTAGAAAAAGAGTGTTAAGTAGTTTAAAACGTGAAATTAATATGGTGAAAAAGGGAAAAAATTTAAATTATTAAAATTAATTATGGTGAAGGATACTATTTTTTTTGGTTTAAAACTAAAATTTATTTTATAAAAAATTTTCTCTTAATTATTCTTTTTTCATTCTCTCTCTTTTTGGTGTGTGTTTTTTCTTTTTCTTTCATTTTTTCTTTTAAATTAAAAACAAAATTTAAAAAAAAATGGTGTGTGATAATTAACAAAATTAAACATTTTTGAAATTAGCTTCATTCAATAAAAATCAATTGGATAGACCTGCAACTGCTACAGATGATATGGAGCTAAACTCATATAGTGTAGAACCAACCGAAACAACTACTACTACTACTCTTACTAGCCCTAGTAAATTAACTACGAAAAAAAGTTCAGTAACTAACAAACAAATGAATGTCACTAACAGCATTTCTGTCAATTTAACTAAACAAAATTTTACTCATCTTGTCAATGAAGTCGTCCCTGCCCCTTCTGCTGTTGAAAATCGAAAATATACAAATTTCGAAAATATAAATCATAACATTAACGATAGTGATGTGATCGTCATTCAAATACATCTGCGCATTATTGGTGATGGGTATAATACTAGTAATAATGCTAATCAAACTTACGATAATAGTATTGAGCATGATGATGATTGGGGTGATGATAATGACGATGATAATGATGGCGATAGCGATGACTCTACAGACATTATAGAGGACTTGGTTACCGAAAGTTATAGACAAAAACGTAATTTAGATTTAACCACTAGACCTTCTATACAAAGGACTTTTAAGGACTCTGACCCTTTAGATAATGACTTTAATTATGAAAGTTTTGAATCGAAATTATCGCAACATGTTAGAGAAATACGTCAAGTTACCACCAGACGTCCGTCTCATCATTATCGTTCGACTAGTAAGTTTGTTTTCGTAACTGTGTCTGTTCTGCTTTGTTATTGTTTTTGAGTTCCTTTTGTTTCTATATTTATTGGTGTTTTATGGTTGCCTTTTCTTTCTGTTTTTCACTTGGTTTTTGTTTCACTTTTCCAGCATGTTAAATGTTTTATTTTTATAAACTTTTTTTATTTATGTGTTTGTTAAATGTTTTTAATGCTTTTTTATGTTATTTTGTTTTTAATTTATATTTAAATATTTTTTTAATTTTTTGTCTAAAGTAGTTTTAGCAGTTTAGTTTAAAAACTAATAATTAGTTTTAAGTTTAATGCATGCTTTGTTTAAAGTTGAAAGCTTTTATTATTTAGCTAGAAATTTTATTAAAAAAGAGCTTTAAAGCTAAAAAATTTATTTCATAATAAAGCTTTTTTAACAAAATTCTCAAGAAAAGCTTTAGCTGTTAAAAAGGAAGGAGCTTTAAAGCTAAAAAATGTATTTCATAATACAGCTTTTTTAACAAAATCTCAAAAAAAAGCTTTAATTGTTAAAAATCTATACAAAAGCTTTCTAGTAAAAGCGTAATAAAGCAACATAAACTTTAACGAAACTAATTAATTAAAAGCTTTTTAATTGTAAAACTTAAAAGTATAAGCGTTAGATTTATTAACAGATAAAGCTTTTCACCACAAAACTTTGGTACTTTTTAGCTTTAATTTCAAATCGGAAAACACCATTCAACTTTTAATAACTGTATTTAATGTAAACTTAACAAAAGCTTTAAATACAAAAAAAAATAAAGCATAACATAGTAAAAGCTTTCAATATAAGTTTGTTTTATATTAAAACTTATTTGATTTATTAAATTATTTTGTTTATAATTTTGTATATTATTTTTATTTATTTGTTTTATGTTTTATTTTATTTTCTATTAATGAAAATTATGAATTTTAAAAAATAAAAATTTTTTATAATTTTTTTTTTCTTTAAAACAAAAGTAAAATTATTTTAATATTTTTTTTTCAAAATTCATAATTTGATTTATTAAATACCATGCATGAAAAAAAAGACTCCCATGTAGTTTTTATTTAAAAGCTTTTATATGAAATTTATAATTAATATATTTACTTTTCCATTTCCCCATCAAACCCGCCACCAATAGCTTATACCACTCATGTGGATAAACCGAATATAACATCGAATGCCAAACATCATGCTCCCGAAGGTGGAACTTTTGAATTGACTTGTGATGTTAAAATTGCCCATGATGTCAAGTATAAAGTGGAATGGGTTTTACCGGATGGTGTGCAGCGAGATGAGGTAAGTTTTGGAAAGGGGGATAAGTAATGGTTTGATAATAATAGTCAATGTGGCTATGGCGCAAGACAAAGATTAGTCTGTTCCATATACTTTCTATAAACTAGTATATAGACTATTCAATAGACTTGTCCACACATAAGTCCACAGACTAGTCCATAGGTTATAGTACAAACTAGTCCAAATATTAGTCCATAGACGAGTGCAAAGATTATAGATTAATGTATAGACTAATCCAAAGGTTAGTAAATAGAATAGCCCACTGATTAGAATATAGACTAGTACATAAACAGGTCCATAGAATAGTCAATAGATTAATTCATAGGCTAGTCCATACACTTGTCCAGAGACTAGTCATGACCAGTTTATATACTACCTCATAGAGAAGTCTATAGAATAATCAATAGAATACTGAATAGACAAGTTCATAGACTACTCCATACACTAATCAATAGACAAGTCCATAGACTAGTCAATAGACAAGTCCATAGTTTAGTCAATACGATAGTCCATAGACTAGTCAATAGCCCAGTCAATAGACTAATGAATAGACAAGTCCATAGACTAGTCAATAAACAAGTCCAAAGACTAGTGAATAGATATGTCCATAGACTTCTGCATAGACTAGTCAATAGACAAGTTCATATACTGGTCCACAGACAAGTCTATAAACGAGTGAATAGACAAGTCCATAGACTACTTAATAGACAAGTTCAGAGACTAGTCCATACACTAGTCAATAGAAAAGTTTATAGACTAGTCCATAGACTAGTGAATAGACAATAGCCTATTCCAAAGATTATTCCACAGATTAGTTCATAGACTTGTAAGTAGACTAATCCATAAATAAGTCCATAAACTAGCCAATAGACTAGTCCCTAGAGTCTATAGACAAGTCTATAGACTACACAATAGACAAGTAAATACACTACTCCATAAACTAGTCAATAAACAAGTCCATACACTAATCAATAGACAAGTACATAGTCTAGTCCATAGACTAGTCAATAGATAAGTAAATAGACTAGTCAATAGACAAGTCCATGCACTAGTGAATGGAAAAGTTGATATAGAAGTCATTAGACTAGTCCATAGACTAGTCAGTGACAAGTCCATGGATAAGTCCTTAGACTAATCCATAGTCTAGTCAATAGACTAGCCCATAGAATAGTTACTAGACTAATCCGCACACTGGACAATAAACTAATTTCTACATTGTACTAATCTCACCATTTCAGACTCGCTTCATTGAGAAAAGTCTACCCAACGTCAAGGTAACCGAAACCCATGTCTATGGTCGTAATATTTTAACGGTGAAAAATGCTAAAATTTCCGATTCTGGTCGTTATACCTGCAATGTTTCCGATCATTCTTCGAATAAGGCGAAAAGTTCTTATAACATGTTGATTGTACGCAAAGGTGAAAGTTATATTAAGATGCGGGAATCCAATGATTACTATACGATCAATGAAAAGGCTAATAAGACGGTACAAATGTCAGTGCGTTATAGTGGTTATCCATGGCCCAAATTGAAGTGGTACAATCCCAATGGTACCGAAATTTTCAATAATCATAAATTTGAAATAACCACCGATGATGTGTCCTCAACTTTAAAGATTTACAATACACGCTTATGGGATACGGGTACTTATACGGTGGAGGCTACGAATACGGATACAACTATGAAGCGTGAATTTAATGTGACCATAGAAGATATACCCATTGTAATGATGGAAGATGTTTATGTTCATGCTGATGAAAAGGCACATGTACAGTGTCGTGTCCAATCGCATCAATTAGCTTCAGTATCATGGGTATTTGAACCGTGTAGCATTGAGCCCAGATGGCCATCATGTTCGAAAGTAGTTATACATGACTTTAATGTAAGTAATATTTAGTTTAGGGAAAAGTGTTGATTTTATAGAAAAAACCGTATGTTACAGGATACCTCTTCAGGTAACGGCGCCACTCCTATAGAGTTTATTTACGATTTATATTTTGAACCAAAATCCCCTGGCATTATACGTTGTTCGGCTATGAACAAAATTGGTAGAGCTGTGGCTAAGAGTCATGTTTTAATACGTGACATTAATGATAACATGACTATTTATGGTGTACAGGATCATGATATTATAGCTTTGGGTGATAAGGTCACCATAACATGTGCTGCAGTGGCCTATTTCTTTTCGGGTGATATTAATTGGTATGATGACAAGGGCAATTTAATCGAGGGCTCTGAGAGTAAGTTTTAAAAACAGTTTTATATTAGTTTTTACAAAATTTTTAAGTCCACTTCTATTTTTCTAGACATTATTATCAATAAATCCTCAACTCCATATTCATATCAGAAATCTTTAACATTTAAAAGCATTAAGGATTCGAATCAGGGTCAATATGAGTGTAGAGCAAGAGCTATAAATCATGAAACCACAGAATCAAGATTAATCAATATTATAACACATGGTAAGTTCTAATCTATAATTTACTGTTGTAATAAAGAAGAAATCGTTATAATGTTAAATAAAACTTTCTAGAACCCACTTCACCCCGTATGGTGAACACTAATCTGGGTGATAGCAATAAAATTGAAAGAAAACTAGGAGAATCGGTGGAATTAAGATGTGAATCGGAAGCTATACCCAAAGCCTCAGTTGTTTGGTATAAAAATGATGAACTAGTTGAAAATAATGATACCGATAATGAGGCTGTTCTTTTGATACCCTATCTCCGACCAGAGGATCAAGGCCATTACAAATGTGTTGTGGCTAATAGATTGGGTTCCATAGAGGAAACGGTTAATATAAAAATCACCAGTAAGTTGAAAAGAAATTAATATTTCCAGAATTTTTATTCAAATATTTACTTTCCCCTAGATATACCCGGTCTTACTTTAGGCTGGATAGCCGGTATTTTAGCTTTACTTTTGGTTTTAATCGGTTTGGTTATCTATCTTTATATACGTGTTAAACGTGAGCGTAAGCTTTTGCGTGAACTAAAGGCAGCCGGTTTAGCTAACTTTGAGGAAGGTGCTGTTGAACACATTAATCCTGCCTTAACTCTTGACGAACAAGCTGATCTGTTGCCCTACGATCGTGGTTTTGAATTTCCCCGTGAAAAACTTAAGCTGGGCAAACAATTGGGTGCTGGTGCTTTTGGTGTTGTGCTTAAAGCTCATGCTGAGGGCATTAAGCCGGAAGAGAAAGAAAGTGTAGTGGCTGTGAAGATGGTTAAACGTCAGGCGAATAATGAAGTGATGCGAGCTTTGGTTTCGGAGTTAAAGATAATGGTACATTTGGGTCAACATTTGAATGTGGTCAATTTGTTGGGAGCGGTTACGAAGAATATAGCTAAACGTAAGTTAAGATTGTTGAACATTTTTAACAATAAAGATGGTTTTACGAAAAACTAAAAAGGTTTTTTGGTTAAAAGCTGTTTAAAGCTTTTTATACAAAAAGCTATTTTTATAATCTAAAACGCTTAACTTATATTATAAACAGCTTTTTTAAAAGCAAAGCAACTTAAAGCGTTATTTGAAGCTTTTTTATTAAAAGCAATTAAACACTTTTAAAAGCTTCTTCACTAAAACGCTATTTAAAGAATATAAGGTCTTCATCAAAAGGTTCTTAAAAGCTTTCAATTATCTTAATAAATCAAAATAAAATTTTTATTTTGTTTCATTAAGGCGAATATTTAAATATCTGTTTAAAACTTTAAAAGTTTTTTTCAATAGAACTTTTTCACTAAAATGCTATAAAAAACTTCTTCACTAAAAAGCTAAAAAAAGCTTTTTCAATAAAAAGCTTTCAAAAGCTTTCGCTAAAATGCCAAAAAGGCCTTTTTATTAAAATGTTATGTAAAGTTTTTTCAATAAAAAGCCATGAAAAACTTTTTCACTAAAAAGCTTAAAAAAACTTTTGCATTAAAACGATATTAAAAGCTTTTAGTAAATCAAAATATTTTACTTTTGTTCCCTTTAGGCGAATTAATGGTTATTGTCGAGTACTGTCGCTATGGCAATGTCCAGAATTTCTTAATGCGTAATCGTAAACGTTTCATTAATCAAATCAATCCACAAACGGGTAAAATTGATCCCTCCATAATGACACAACGGTTTTCCGATAATTTTGAATTAAACCGGTAAGTTTTTTCTATTCTATTTTGAATTTTAATTGTTATGCAAAATTACTAACAATTTAGTTTAAAGGCATTTAATTAATATGTATTAGTTCTTAGTTCATTCTATTAACAATTTTATAAATTAATTTCAAAACATTATTAACTAATGTGAACAAACAATAAAAGCTTTTCAGGAAGCTTTCAGAATTTTTTTATTTTTTAACAAGTTTGTTTACATTAACTTTTATATTTTTAGCATGTTTGTAAATTATTGTTTAACTAATTTTTAATTTTTTTAAACCTTTTTTCTTTTTCACATCTTTTCATAATGCATAATTCCTCAATCCCTATTTTAACTAACATTTTATTTTGAATTGGTTTTGTTTTGTAACAAATTATTCTAACCATTAAAAATATTTTCATTTATATTTTTTTCTCTTCCTCCCAAAATTAATGTCTGTTTAATGTGTGTAATAATTAAAAAATATATATAAAATCCTACTATTTCCATAAATATATAATCGGGTTCTTATGGTGTCTTGTTGGATGTTGTGTGGTGGTATTAATCTATAATCCCTGATATAATCTTAAAACAATATAATCTTCTAAAATAAAAAAAACAATATTTCCTATGGTGTATGGGCACGTTTTCGTATCAAAAACAATAAAAACCTAACCTCAATTTGTATGTAATAAAAATAAAACAGTGATGGTCTTAAATATGTTAATCTATCATTCTCCAAACATCAATATATCAATCATATGAATAATATCAACAATATGAACAACTATTATTCCATGAACAATAGAAGCAATTCGGATAATGATCCCAGATCGGGTACACGAGCTGGTCGTCCCAATTCAACGGGTTATATAACACAATCGGAACTGTATGAGGGCCAAGTGAATACATGTGCTACGGAGCAAACTGTTATGACAACGGTGCCAGAAGGTAAGTGGTTACAAATTACTGAGAACAAAAATTGCATTTTGCATAGATAGTATAAAGAATGACTAGACCATAGACTCAGCTATATACTACACTGTAGACTATAGACTAGACTATAGACTAGACTATAGACTCGACTATAGACCAGACTATAGACTAGACTATATACTAGAATAGATTATAGACTAGTCTATAGACTAGACTATAGACTAGACTATAGACTAGACTATAGACTATAGACTATAGACTAGACTATAGACTAGACTATAGACTAGACTATAGACTAGACTATAGACTAGACTAGACTAGACTAGACTAGACTATAGACTAGACTATAGACTAGACTATAGACTAGACTATAGACTAGACTATAGACTAGACTATAGACTAGACTATAGACTAGACTATAGACTAGACTATAGACTAGACTATAGACTAGACTATAGACTAGACTATAGACTAGACTATAGACTAGACTATAGACTAGACTATAGACTAGACTATAGACTAGACTATAGACTAGACTATAGACTAGACTATAGACTAGACTATAGACTAGACTATAGACTAGACTATAGACTAGACTATAGACTAGACTATAGACTAGACTATAGACTAGACTATAGACTAGACATAGACTAGACTATAGACTAGACTATAGACTAGACTATAGACTAGACTATAGACTAGACTATAGACTAGACTATAGACTAGACTATAGACTAGACTATAGACTAGACTATAGACTAGACTATAGACTAGACTATAGACTAGACTATAGACTAGACTATAGACTAGACATAGACTAGACTATAGACTAGACTATAGACTAGACTATAGACTAGACTATAGACTAGACTATAGACTAGACTATAGACTAGACAATAGACTAGACTATAGACTAGACTATAGACTAGACTATAGACTAGACTATAGACTAGACTATAGACTAGACTATAGACTAGACTATAGACTAGACTATAGACTAGACTATAGACTAGACTATAGACTAGACTATAGACTAGACTATAGACTAGACTATAGACTAGACTATAGACTAGACTATAGACTAGACTATAGACTAGACTATAGACTAGACTATAGACTAGACTATAGACTAGACTATAGACTAGACTATAGACTAGACTATAGACTAGACTATAGACTAGACTATAGACTAGACTATAGACTAGATAGACTAGACTATAGACTAGACTATAGACTAGACTATAGACTAGACTATAGACTACACTATAGACTAGACTATAGACTAGACTATAGACTAGACTATAGACTAGACTATAGACTACACTATAGACTAGACTATAGACTAGACTATAGACTAGACTATAGACTAGACTATAGACTACACTATAGACTAGACTATAGACTAGACTATAGACTAGACTATAGACTACACTATAGACTAGACTATAGACTAGACTATAGACTAGACTATAGACTAGACTATAGACTAGACTATAGACTAGACTATAGACTAGACTATAGACTAGACTATAGACTAGACTATAGACTAGACTATAGACTAGACTATAGACTAGACTATAGACTAGACTATAGACTACACTATAGACTAGACTATAGACTAGACTATAGACTAGACTATAGACTAGACTATAGACTAGACTATAGACTAGACTATAGACTAGACTATAGACTAGACTATAGACTAGACTATAGACTAGACTATAGACTAGACTATAGACTAGACTATAGACTAGACTATAGACTAGACTATAGACTAGACTATAGACTAGACTATAGACTAGACTATAGACTAGACTATAGACTAGACTAGACTATAGACTAGACTATAGACTAGACTATAGACTAGACTAGACTAGACTATAGACTAGACTATAGACTAGACTATAGACTAGACTATAGACTAGACTATAGACTAGACTATAGACTAGACTATAGACTAGACTATAGACTAGACTATAGACTAGACTATAGACTAGACTATAGACTAGACTATAGACTAGACTATAGACTAGACTATAGACTAGACTATAGACTAGACTATAGACTAGACTATAGACTAGACTATAGACTAGACTATAGACTAGACTATAGACTAGACTATAGACTAGACTATAGACTAGACTATAGACTAGACTATAGACTAGACTATAGACTAGACTATAGACTAGACTATAGACTAGACTATAGACTAGACTATAGACTAGACTATAGACTAGACTATAGACTAGACTATAGACTAGACTATAGACTAGACTATAGACTAGACTATAGACTAGACTATAGACTAGACTATAGACTAGACTATAGACTAGACTATAGACTAGACTATAGACTAGACTATAGACTAGACTATAGACTAGACTATAGACTAGACCAACGGTTCCCAAAAGGGGGTCCGCGGACCCCTAGTGGTCCGTAGCAAAATCCTAGGGGGTCCGCGAAGGCGAACGAAAAAAATCATGAATAAAAAATATTATCTATATGTTAGAAAATATTAAAAATATCTCCAAATTTGTCATAAATACTAAAATACACAATTTTTATTCAATAATCCCAGATTTGTTGGTGACTCTTTGAATTTTATTGTTTCGGTCGTTTATCAGGATGAAGCTAGGCCTTACAAATTTATTGTTTCACTTTTATAAAGTAAAGTATTACGTGATTTGTAATTTTTATAAATGTATATGTATCGAAATAAATGTTTTTATAGCAGACGGATAATGATTTGCCTTAGAATTAAATACTGATACTGGTATCCCAGGTTAGGTCACATTTCATAATATTTTTTTAAATTGTAAGCAAAAGTGTTAATCTAGTTAATTTTAAATATAAATATTCCATTCCGACGTGATACACAGATTTTAACTTCATTTTGTTGTCCAATATTATTAAATCAACATCAGAAAATTCATAGCGTTTTGCGTAAATAGTCAAAACCACGCAGTAAAATAATTCGTAGGTATTTTAAAATTCAAAATTAAGATCCAAATTCACAGTACATTCGCAAAGAGTTCAGGTCATATTTTATGTGGGTAACGCATTCCGCAACAACATCGAAGAAGTCTAACTTTCACATATTTTCTCGAAAACTTAGCTTACATACTCAGCTCACTCCTATGCAATCGCAAAAAAATTTAGAAACATGACTCTTTAAGCACATGTCGACAATACTTGATAAAGAAACCTTTTCTATACCTTGACGAGAAATGAACATGAAAGCTCTCACGATCATAAAATTAAACATCATGTTAGAAGTCATTCTATATTTAAAACCATGCAATTGAAAACATCTCCGATCTCAATGTACGGGAATATTTTATAGGGTTTATGGACCAGGACTAAGACAATTTTCGGACGAACAATTACACAGTGATACAGCAAAAAAATGCAGGGGTTCTCATATACCAATTCCATTTCGTTATAGTCCATAGAGTAGGAATATATTTTTAATTTTTCCCGATCACTTCGTTTAGTTCCTTTTTAAGAGCAAAAGATGTGAAAAAGAGCTATTTTTGAAGTTTTAACTTTAAAAAAATATATTTATGGTAGTTTGCAACCGATTTTCAAATTGGATATTTTGTTTTAAAGATACAAGTGTTGTCTTTCAACCCAAAAAAATAAATCCAAAATTTATGATTAATGTCTTGGTTACGGCCTTTTAAGTAAAAAAACTCACATTTTTTTCACAATTTTTAATTTTCATACTGCTCTACGTTGGCCATGAAGCAGTAACTTTAGCTTTTATTACATTTGAAAAAAGGCACATTAAGTTGGGTTTCCAATGATGGTCAATTTATGATAATCGATGAAAAAGGTTATGAGTTGTGCTAAGTTTTATAAAAATATAGCATATTTCTTCCATACAAAAACGTTCATGTTTCTGGTTTTCTTTGTAACAAGTTTAAAAAATGTTTATAAACATTTTTATACAAAAATTAATTTGTATGGAGAAAACCAAAAATTCGAGGAACATGCTATTAGAAAAATTGGCATAAATCATCCAGTTTTTCATAGATTTTTATGAAATAACAAGTTTTAGAAACCTTCCTTTATGTGATTCTTCAGGAAAGTAATAAAAGATGAACTCACTGCCTCAAGGTCAAAGTAGAGCATGATGAAAATGAAATTTTTTTAAAAAAGTGTGAGTTTCTTTACTTAAACGGCAACACTTGTATCATTAAAAAAAATATCGGATTTGAAAATCGGATGAAAACTACTACTAAACTTATGATTTTTCAAATTTAAAACTTCAAAAATGGCTCTTTTTCGCATCTTTTGATCTTAAAAAGTAAGTTAACGAAGTGATAGGGGAAAACTAAAAATATATTCGTACTCTATGGACTATAACGAAATAGAATTGGTATATGAGAACGCCTGCATTTTATTTTTCTTCACTTTTGTATCACAGTGTTATTTATAACAATAAGATATCAAAATATGTATGGGGGTCCGTGAAATTAAATAAATTCCTCAAGGGGTCCGCGAAGTAAAAAACGGTGGGAACCGCTGGACTAGACTATAGACAACACTACAGACTACACTATAGACTAGAATATAGACTAAACTAAACAAGGCTATAGACTAAACTTTATCTATAGACTAGACTATAAGCAAGAATATAGACTAGACTGTAGGATGAAATAAAACTACTATAAGCAATTTATAAAAAAAAAAAACTATTTCCTCTCTATTCATTAAATCCATTATCAAAGGAGTTAAAAGGGTTAAAGAGGAAGCAGGTAATTTAGATCGAAAATTCCATAAACTTTAACAATCATTTTCCTCTTCCTTAAAGAAAGAAAACATTTCTATAATTACTTCTATATTCACAGATGATGACAACAATATCATGTCCAACAACTCTGTGCAACCAGCCTGGCGTTCAAATTATAAACCCGACTCTACCGAAGCCATGACCGTTACCACTACCGACCTTATAAGCTGGGCCTTCCAGGTGGCCTGTGGCATGGAATATTTATCATCTAAGAAAGTATTACATGGTGATTTAGCGGCGAGAAATATTTTACTATGTGAAGATAACATTGTGAAAATTTGCGATTTTGGTTTGGCACGTTCCATGTACAAGAGTGATAATTACAAGAAACAGGGAGATGCCCCATTGCCCATTAAATGGTTGGCTTTGGAATCATTAAGTGATCATATCTTTAGCACTTATACAGATGTTTGGTCTTATGGTATTGTGTTGTGGGAATTATTCTCTTTGGCTAAGGTGCCTTATCCTGAGATTGACGCAAATCAAAGTTTATATTTGAAACTGAAGGATGGTTATCGTATGGAGAAGCCGCCCTATGCTAATGATGATTTGTATGATATAATGTTGGAATGTTGGAGTACAAATCCGGAAAGAAGACCCTTGTTTAATGTATTAAAGGAAAGATTTGCCTTAATGTTGGGCGAAGAAGTGACGAATGTAAGTTAAGGGATTTATCCATAAAAGTTTAGGAAATTTATAATAATTTTTTTGTTTGTTTTATGTTTAGCACTATGTGGACTTAAATGAGCCCTATTTAAGAGTTAATACCGAATATATGAAACATAATCCCACAGATTACTTATCATTAATGGGTTCACCCGATGAAATGGCACCACCACCGCCCAGATATGTTAATGGTCATATACTACCCGAAATACGTAAGTTTTTCTCATAAGCTTTTACTAACTTTTAACAAACATTTTGTTTAACTCCCACTTAAACCCATATTAACTTATATATTTGTATCTTGTTTCTGTTCTATTTCCATATCGAATACAAACCACCCATTCTTATGCACTACTCCATACATATACATATACTGTCATGCTTCACATATTTTACTGCACCCATGTACTACAATACTATCTCCCCATCAAACATATATACACACACACACCAAATTAAAAACTCCAGGCATAGATTTGTCTACCGATGATTATCTAACAATGAGTCCCAATGGTGACGCTGTCATATTCTCACCAACTCGTCCTAAGGACTCACCTAAAACTTTGGAAGATAATGATGATGATCAACCACCCAATATTTCAGCTACTTCTTTTAATTTCCCAGATACAGCAGCCCCCCAACATTCCCCCACTATAGTCAATAATCTGGATAGTCCGGTCAATAAACCGCCACGCAACAAAAAGGAAGGCATTGAACCTTTGCCCGAGGAAATACCCATGCTGCACAATGCCCAACATAATGAGGACAGCCCCGAACAACCAAGAAAATATACTCAAATGTTGCAGCAGACAAGAAATGCACCCTCACCGCGTCATCATGTGGCGGAGACCAAGCTGCAGGGTGAGGGAGGAGAGAATTATGTGAATATTAAATCACCGAAAAAGTTTATCAACAATAACGGCTCGAAAGCGCCGGATGCATTCTCAAATCCAAGTTATCAGATACTCAAGACTGGTAGTAGTGGAGAAACGAAATAATACGAGTACGCAGAATAAAGGAAAGAGAGGGAAGCTTTTCTCTCTTTCCCATTTGTGCGTAATGTTTTTAAGTTGTAATATACCGATATATTTATACAAAAAATTTGTTTTTAGAATTGAAATTAATTAGTAAACATTACCTAGTGATGTGTAAATTAATGATAATTTTAAATTAATTAAGCTTTTGTCACTAAAAAAAAGAACGCTTTCACATGTTTTTTCAACACTTAGCTTAAGATGGAAAAAAAGAGTTTTTGTTAATTTTTTTAAATGCAAATAGTTTAGGGGAAAAGCTGTTTAAGAAGCTGTCAATATTTTGTTTTAAGCTTTTTTTATAGTAATTCTTAGAAATTTAAAGCTTTTTATGTAAAATAAAAGCTTTATAGACTTCAAAGCTTTTTACGAAAAATATGCTTAAAATGCTTTTAAACTTTTTATGAAAATAATTTAAAAGCTTTAAATTTTTTATGGAAAATATGCTTTAAAAGCATTTTATGAAAAAGGGCCAAAAAAAGCTTTTTATAAAAAAAAAAAACAAAAAAGCTTTTTATGAACAAAAATTTTAAAGCTTTTAATTTTTTATGATAAAGAAGCTTTTTATGAAAAAGAGCCAAAAAAAAGGCTTTTTATAAAAAAGAAGCGAACAAGTTTTTGCTTTTTATGAACAAAATTTTGAAAGCTTTTAATTTTTTATGATAAGAAAGCTAAAAAGCTTTCATGTTTTTTTTTTAACTAAAAAGTTTATACGAAAAAGAAGCTTTAAAATGTTTTTATAAATGAATCTAAAGGATAAAACAAACTTACAAAGTTTTTTTACGAAAATAAAGTTTAAACAGCTTTTAAGGATTTTAAGTTTTTTTCCAAAAAAGTTTATAAATAAATCTAAAAAATTTAAATTAATAATAAAATAAACTGACAAAGCTTTTTATGAAAATAAAGTTTAAACAGCTTTTAAGGATTTTAAGAAAAAAAGCTTTCAACAAAAAATAAGTTATTAAAGCTTTTTGTGAAAAAAGAGTATTGAAATCATTTTATGGAATAAAAGCTTTAAAAGAAGTTGTATAAGCTTTCAATGAAAAAGAAGCTTGAGAAGCTTTTTATGAAAAATAATTAGGATTAAAGGATTTCAAAGCTTTTATAAAAATTCAGTTTAAAACATTTCAAGGCTTTTATGAAAATTGAGTTTTAAAGCTTTTAAAGAAGTTGTATAAGCTTTCAATGAAAAAGAAGCTTGAGAAGGTTTTTATGAAAAATAATTAGGATTAAAGGATTTCAAAGCTTTTATGATAACTAAATTTAAAAAATGTCAAGGCTTTTTTGAAAATTGAGCTTTAAAGCTTTTAATCAAAATTAAGATACAAATTTTTCAAAGCTTTTAACGATAAAAAAAGCCTTAAACTTTTATTTTTGTTACATTTTAGCATATTCACTGTAACTTATAATGAAAAGCTTTATTAAAACTTTGGAATATCAAAAGCTTTCTTTTCATCTTATTAGACAAACAAGCTTTTCCTACGCTTTCAGTTCTTCATATTTCAAATAAACTATTTATTAAAAAAGCTTTTAATATATAAATCCCATGAACATTTTATGTGTGACATTTTGTTTTTATTAAACTTTTTAAAAGTTTTCCAGAAAAACATTACTCAAAAGCTTTACATAACTTTTTGCTACTAGAAGTAGATATAATAAAAATCGTCCGAAAAAGTGCTTTAACAAAGCTTATTTTTATATTAGGCTTTCAACTCAAGATTTTGAAAAAGCTTTCGTCTTTATATATATTTTTTTACAAAACTGCCGTCTTCCTACTTCACTTTCTCCAACAAATCTTCTACCATCTTTGGCTTAAGTATCACTCATATTAAAGCTTTTCTTTAACAAAAAAGTAAAAGCTTTTTTGTTTTTTTCTGTTGCATTTAAGTTTGTATTTTTAAAATGTTATTTATTAAACAAAAAGGTCTTTAAAATAATACTAAACGTTATTATATTTGTTAGAGTTTAACTAAAAGTTTTAACTTAAAAGCAGATATTCATAAATATATTTTTGTTTCAAATCACCATAAAAGCCTCATTTTATTAATAAAAAAAGAACTAAAAACAAAAATATACATAAAAATAAATAAAATCTAAATTATAATTGTATTACTTTGTGTGTAATTTAGTGTAAAGTCTCTAACAATTTATTTAGCTTTAAATATTTTATGTACGTATTTACCATTAAGTATTTTTTTTAATTAAAAAAAAAACAAATGCATATTTAAAAAAATATGTACTATTTTTTAAAAACTTTATAGAAAAACCTAATAAATTTAATAAAACAAATGTTATAGAATTTTAAATTTTAAACAGAAATATACATACAAAAAAAAAATATACAAAATATCGCTTATATACACAAATCTAAATCAAATGAATGAATAAACAAAACTAAACTAAATAAATATTGTAAATTTATATTTTTTAAAGCTAACTTTTTTGTCCTATAAGTTTTATTATATTGATATATAAAAATATATTTAATTGTAAAATAAACTAAATTTTATAAATAAAAAAAAACGACTTTAATTTTAACATTTTTTAACCCTCTTTAACATATAGAGGCAACATAACGGTTATCTCCTTCAAATTTCTATATTAACAGTTATTGTGACCTATCGAGTTATGTAAACTGTTGTATACATTTTATTCTTTCTATCAAGTCCAAAAAACCTTTCTTCTTATCTTAAATCTGATCAGTTCAATCAAAAATTTCGAGTTTGTAGCTTTTTTATACCCACCATCAAAAAAGATGGGGGGTATATTGATTTTGTCATTCCGTTTGTAACACATCGAAATATTGATCATAGACCCACAAAAGTATATATATTCTGGGTCCTCATTAAATTCTAAGACGATCTAGCCATGTCTGTCCGTCTGTCCGTCCGTCTGTCTGTCTGTCTGTCTGTCTGTCCGTTGAAAGCACGATAGAGTCCGAATGGAAAGAGCTAGAGGGTTGAAATTTCACATAAATATTTCTTATAGGTAAGGTTTGTTTGGTATTGGAAATGGGCAATATCGGTCCACGTTTTCGGATAGCCCCCATACAAGTGGCCCCTCGAAAAGCAGCTTTAACAGCCATAACTTGTTTAAAAATACGAATATAGCGATGAAATTCGACATAAGTAAGTTTCTTATGATCCAAAATCACTATGTAAAATTTTATGAGGATCGGTCTATAATTGACTCTACCCCCCATATAAGGTCCCCTTCAGAAAATGACTTTAATGCTCATTACTGGCTTAAAAATACTAGTATATAGATGAAATTTGACATAAGTAAGTTTCATACGAGTCAAAATCTATCTAAAAAATGTTATGAGGATCGGTCCATGATTGACCCTACCCCCCATATAAGGTCTCCTTCAGAAAATGGCTGCAACGCTCATTAATGGTTTAAAAATACGAGTGTAGCGATGAAATTCGACACAAGTAAATTTAATACGAACCAAATTCTGTCTACCAAATTTTATGAGGATCGACCCATAATTGACCCTACCCCCTATATAAGATCCCCTTCAGAAAATTACTTTAACGCTTATAACTGGCCTAAATATACGAGTATATAGATGAAATTCGACATAAGTAAGTTTCGTTCGAGTCAAACGAGGTTTGATGGTGGGTATATAAGATTCGGCATAGCCGAATATAACACTCTAACTTGTTAACGTTAAGTTGTGCTTTTTTACAGAAAAATTTTGCTTAGTTTTTGCCACTTTAAACAAAATACATATTAAATTTGTGCTGCTATTCGAATTTAGAGAAAATTTCTAATTTGGAGATGTTGAGTTATAAAGGGTTAATCGTTATAAAACGTACCAATTTAGGAATTTGGGTCACTTAAATTTGGTAACTAAATGATGGCCCTATTGTGCTTTATCTATCTATCTATCTATCTATCTATCTATCTATCTATCTATCTATCTATCTATCTATCTATCTATCTATCTACCTATCTATCTATCTATCTATCTATCTATCTATCTATCTATCTATCTATCTATCTATCTATCTATCTATCTATCTATCTATCTATCTATCTATCTATCTATCTATCCTATCTATCTATCTATCTATCTATCTATCTATCTATCTATCTATCTATCTATCTATCTATCTATCTATCTATCTATCTATCTATCTATCTATCTATCTATCTATCTATCTATCTATCTATCTATCTATCTATCTATCTATTATCTATCTATCTATCTATCTATCTATCTATCTATCTATCTATCTATCTATCTATCTATCTATCTATCTATCTATCTATCTATCTATCTATCTATCTATCTATCTATCTATCTATCTATCTATCTATCTATCTATCTATCTATCTATCTATCTATCTATCTATCTATCTATCTATCTATCTATCTATCTATCTATCTATCTATCTATCTATCTATCTATCTATCTATCTATCTATCTATCTATCTATCTATCTATCTATCTATCTATCTATCTATCTATCTATCTATCTATCTATCTATCTATCTATCTATCTATCTATCTATCTATCTATCTATCTATCTATCTATCTATCTATCTATCTATCTATCTATATCTATCTATCTATCTATCTATCTATCTATCTATCTATCTATCTATCTATCTATCTATCTATCTATCTATCTATCTATCTATCTATCTATCTATCTATCTATCTATCTATCTATCTATCTATCTATCTATCTATCTATCTATCTATCTATCTATCTATCTATCTATCTATCTATCTATCTATCTATCTATCTATCTATCTATCTATCTATCTATCTATCTCTATCTATCTATCAAGTATAGTTTAGAGGCCATTGTTGTTTGTTTTATTCACCTCGATATACAAAATGTTAATTTGTTCTCTTGACACATCCCTGTTAAATTTAACATTTTACCATGCACCCGCGATTGATAACACAAAACAGCTGTTTGTTTTATTTTACTATTTGTTATCAATTCGTTATGTGTGCAAAAGAAAAACGTCAAACGTGATTATCGTTTTCGGCAAATAAAAACCACAAGCAGGCATTACAAAATTATTTGAAAGTTTTATAAAATTGTTTTGTTAAGAAAAATATATTTGTGTGTATAAAAACAAAATATTGAAAAGAAAAATATCTCTAAAAACGCAAATAATAAAAATTAAATTATGGCACATGCCACCAAACAAGTGAGTTCCATAAAATCAACATTTTTTCTGTATGTGACGCAATAAGCAAAGCAAGTGGAAACTACTTTTTGAATTTTTCTTTGTTTAAGTCGAAAAATAAATCCTGTTTTCTATAATTTTACTCATTTAGGGACCCCAACTGTTAAATGGTTTCAAACGTGTAACCCGTTTCGAAAAGGGTTTGGGCGCTCAATTGCCCGAAGCCTATAAGAAATTCTGGCGTGAATGGAAAGTTCAACAACCGGCTGCTGTCCACTATATCCCCAAAGAGGGTCAATGGGAACGCGACGAGGTGACAGGGGAAATTAAGCCAATACAAAATATTCCTTTACCTTTAATTGATACCCCAGAGAGTCACAAGGGTATTTGGGGTGGTGAGGCTGTCATTAAGGGTTTTCAAAAGCGTGAGCGTCTAAAGCGTCGTGTACCTCACTTCTGGGTACCAGTTTTACGTCGCTCGGTGGTACACAGTCAAGTTTTGAATGAGTATATGTCATTGGTGGTAACTGATCGTACTATTGAAAAGATTCACGAGTGTCATGGTTTCGATCATTATCTGTTGAAGGTAAGTGTAATTTTTGATGCATTTTAAAAATTAATTTTGATTTTAAAATGCGACCTAATTTGTGTATGTTTTTAATAATGGGATGTAGATAATCTTAAGAACGTACAAATGTCTTTAAATGTATACATGTATGTAATATTGTTTTAATATTATCGATCAGACATTGACCATTTTGCTTTAAAAGAAATCCTCTTTTATTAAGATCGCAAGTTTTCATTGGAAACATTTCAATGTGAACTTTGTTAAACTTATGAGGAGAGTTTTAAAGGGATTGATTCTAAATGGAAGCTTTTTATCCATTTTTATCTGTCTATCTATTTATCTACTATCTATCTATCTATCTATCTATCTATCTATCTATCTCTATCTATCTATCTATCTATCTATCTATCTATCTAATCTATCTATCTATCTATATCTATCTATCTATCTATCTTCTATCTATCTATCTATCTATCTATCTATCTATCTATCTATCTATCTATCTACTATCTATCTATCTATCTATCTATCTATCTATCTATCTATCTATCTATCTATCTATATCTCTATCTAATCTATTCTATCTATCTATCTATCTATCTATCTATCTATCTATCTATCTATCTATCTATCTATCTATCTATCTATCTCTATCTATCTACTATCTATCTATCTATCTATCTATCTATCTATCTATCTATCTATCTATCTATCTATCTATCTATCTATCTATCTATCTATCTATCTATCTATCTATCTATCTATCTATCTGTCTGTCTGTCTATCTATCTATCTATCTAATCTAATCTAATATATCTATTAACTTCATATTAACCTCCATTTTCTTCATTTTCCAGCACCCTGCTTGTGATTTACGTTCATCTTTAGCCTTGACTTTAAAGCGCAAAATCTTGCAAGATTTGCTATTGGGCTGTCCAGCCTATTCTGCTCAACCAGCTGAACGTGAACGTATTCTCAATGAATACAAATGTTACTTGGAAGGTGTAAGTTTCATCTAGCTTCCCAGAATCCTTTTAATCGAAATTTTACTTAAATTTTTCCCCAACCTAGTATACTCCCGAGGAAATTGAATGGTATGGCTATACCTATGATGATGCCCTTAAAAAACTACAAGCTCAATTACGTGCCGAAAATCCCGTTATACCACATAAAGTTGAATTTCGTATGAAATTAATTGAACAACTTAAGCAGGCTGGTATACGTGAGGCAAGTGGTTCTGCTGCGGCTGAAACATCGGACAAACCCAATGAACCTACTACAAAATCATCTGACAAAGATGCTGATATTGAAGCTTTAACCAAATTGGAATCATCGTCTTCATCTTCCACCTCATCCAATTGGTTGTCGAAAATCAATCCATTTGGCAAGAAACAGGAAACTTAATTTTCCATTGTTGACCAAATGTTCCTTGTTTCAAAAGAGTGTGTTCATAATGAAATTCACATAAAAATAGTTATAAAAAAAAAATATTTTTCAAATTTTCTTTTTCTTTCATTTATTTCCGATAATTTTCCGAACTTTTTTGGTTTTTATTTTAAAAAGAACTTAATATTTAATTTTGAAAGAAAAGCAAAAAATAATAACTTTGGCTTAGCCACAAGTTGGTAGAATAAAAAAACTAATTGTACTGAAAAATATTTAACAAATTTTAAAGATGTTTCATTTCAAAGGTATCTGATTGTGGAACAACAATATTTGCCTTTAAACTGAATATATTTTTTCTCTGGTTCGTCTGTTGAAATAAAAATAAAACAAAATCTATGTAATAGAAATAAAAATTTTATTTTGATGGTTTTAAATTTTGTGGGAGGAATGTTTTGGTAAGAAATTTTATTTGTGGTAAAATATTAATTTGGGTGAAATATTGATTTTTGGTGAATTTTTTTGTTAGACTTGATATTAAAATTGTTTAATAAGTGAAAAATTTATTTAGAGGAAAAAATATTTGTGGTGAAATATTGAAGTAAAGGTGAAATTTAATTTTTTTTTTTGAGGAAAAATTATTTTTGTGTAAAAGAACTATTTTTTTTAGTGAATAGTTGAATTTTATAATGAAAATTTCATTTAGTGGTATTCGTTTGACATAGTGGTGAAAAATTGACTTCAGAGGTGAAAAAAATAATTTAAATACAAAAAAAAATTTGCGAAAAATTTAGATTTTTTGGGATTTTTTTTAATTTTTTTTTTGTTTCGCATTTTGGTGAAAAATAATTAAGAGGTGAAAATTTCAATTTGAGAAGAAATATTGAATCTAGGTGAAATATTGATTTAAAGGTGAAAATTAAATTTTTTGAGAAAAACTATATTTTTTAGGAATCTTTTAATTTTTTTTTTTTTTTTGGTTATTTTGTAGTAAAAATTGATTAAGAGGTGAAAATTTCAATCAAAGAAGAAATATTGAATCTATGGTGAAATATTGATTTAGAGGTGAAAATTCAATTTTTTTAAGAATAAATTAATTTTGAGGATTTTTTAATTTTTTTTATAGTTTTGTGGTGAAAATTGATTAAGAGGTAAAAATTTCCTTCAGAGAAGAAATATTAATATATTTGAGGTGATTTAGAGGTGAAAATTAAATTTTTTGAGAAAAACTATATTTTTGAGGAATCTTTTAATTTTTTTTTGGTTATTTTGTAGTAAAAATTGATTAAGAGGTGAAAATTTCAATTTGAGAAGAAATATTGAATCTAATGTGAAATATTGATTTAGAGGTGAAAATTAGCCGATAGTCTTAGCAGCTAGTGCTCTATAATTTGTATTAGTTTATAATTAAATTATAATCTAATAAAGAATAATAATAATAATAATAAATTTTTTGAGAAAAACTATATTTTTGAGGAATCTTTTAAATTTTTTTGGTTATTTTGTAGTAAAAATTGATTAAGAGGTAAAAATTTCAAACAGAAGAAATATTGAATCTATGGTGAAATATTGATTTAGAGGTGAAAATTAATTTTTTTGAGAATAACTTAATTTTGAGGATTTTTTCAATTTTTTTGTAGTTTTGTGGTGAAAATTGATTAAGAGGTAAAAATTTCCTTCAGAGAAGAAATATTAATATATTTGAGGTGATTTAGAGGTGAAAATTAAATTTCTTGAAAAAAACTTTTGATTTTTTGAAGAATTTTTAAATTTTTTTTGGTAGTTTTGTGGTAAAAATTGATTAAGAGGTGAAAATTTCAATCGGAATAGATATATTGAATTTATGGTGAAATATTTACTTAGAGGTGAAAATTAAATTTTTTGAAAAAAACTAGATTTTTGAGGATTTTTTTAAATTTTTTTTTGTAGTTTTGGGGTGGAAATTGATTATGAGGTGAAAATTTTATTCTAAGGAGAAATATTGAATATATGGTGAATAACTGGTTTATAGGTGAAAATTCAATTTTTTGAAAAAAACTTGATTATTAAGAAATTTTTTGTGGTGAAAATTAATTAAAAGGTGAAAATTTCAATCATAGAAGAAATATTGAATCTATGGTGAAATATTGAGTTAGAGGTGAAAATTAAATTTTTTAAAGAAAAACTATTTTTTAAGTGAAAATTCATATTACCGACTCCATTTTATAGTAAAAATTCGAATTGATGGTGAAAATTTGATTTAGAGTTGAAAAAAGTAAAAACTAAATTTTTATTGAAATATTGATTTTTGGCGATTTTTATTAGGAGGTGAAAAAAATCATTTTATTAGGAAACATTTAATTTGTGGTGAAACATTGATTAACTTTTTAAAATTAAAATTATTTAGTGGTGAAAAGGTTAAATTTGTGGTGAAATATGTTTTATATTAAAAAAATTTACTTTTTATAAGATTATTGAGAAGAAAAAGTGATTTAAAAATGAAAGTTTATTTTAAGACAAGAAATTAGTTTAGAGATAAAAAAATTATTAGAGATAAAAAATTAATTTTTGATTAAAAAAATATTTTTAACAAATTAGCGCATTATTAATGAGTACAAAAACAAGCGGAAACCAAGCATGAATTGATGAATAAAAGAAATTAAAATAAAGTTTTCGAATTGCTTTCAGCAAAAACTTGATAAGCCATAAAATAAAAAAAGTATTTAGGAACATAAGCAAAAAAAAATATATACATTTTTAAATCTTTATGGCTTATCATAGTTTTGCATTAAGCCTTCTATTATATAAATAAAACCCTTTATTATAAGATATTTATATAAATATAATGCGAACATTATATAAATTTATTATGTTTTTAGATCTTGTTATAATTAAATAATACATTTAAAAAAAAGACGTTTAAAATTGTGTTTTAAATACAATAATAATTACTTTTAATGTTTATCATTAATAATTAAAAATACATTTAGATATAAAAATTATATTTATAAAATAATATTGCTGAAATAAGTGTTATTATTACATATTTAAAATACCAAGGAATGCTCTCTATTCAAATATAAATCAATATAAAATGATCATTAAGAAAATGACTTCATTTTTATAAAAAAAAATAATAATGTTAACAAAAATATAAAAACAATAATAAATTTAAAAAAATATATATATTTGTGCTTTTAAAGTATACAAAAAGAAAAAGAACATCGGCAAAGAGTCATACAGATTTAAAGGACACTTACAACACACTTGTAAATGTTTAAAAATGTTTAATGATCTAACATTTCTACGCTATGGGATTCTTTTTCATCAATTCAATATCGGCTGCCATCATATCGTTGACCAATTCCATAAATGTTACTTTGGGTGACCAATTCAATTCACGCTTAGCTTTCGAGGCATCACCCAACAAAAGATCTACTTCGGTGGGACGGAAATATTTGGGATTTATTCGTACACGCACCACGCCGCTATCCTGTTCGATGCCAACCTCATCAACACCTTCTCCCTGCCAGACAATTTGACGTCCTATATAACGAAATGAGGCCTCAACAAATTCACGTACACTATGCGTTTCTCCGGTGGCAATGACATAATCTGAGGGTTTTTCCTGCTGCAACATCATCCACATGGCTTCTACATAATCCATAGCATGACCCCAATCACGTTTCGAATCTAAATTACCCAATTCAAAATATTCCAATTGATTGAGATAGATTTTTGCCACTGAGCGGGTAATTTTGCGTGTTACAAAATTTTCACCTCTTCGTGGTGATTCGTGATTAAAGAGTATGCCATTGCAGGCAAACATATTGTAGGCTTCTCTATAGTTGATGACAATCCAGAAACCGTACATTTTGGCGCAGGCTAAAATTAAAGTTTTGGTTGGAGGAGGGTAGGCAATCTTGTTAAAGTAAAGTGTTATTTCTAGAACAGAAAGGAATGCATTCTGCGTGTCATATTTGTCACTTGAAACACAATCTATTCTAAATATATTACCTCAAAAAATATCTAATACTGTTCCTTCTAAACATACCAGTAGTTTAGCACTAGTTTTTGTACTCATTAATTTCGCCATTTTGTTATACAAATAGTTTTAATAACTGATTCATCAATATACAATCCAAACGTCTAAAGTTTTAGATTTCACACCAAAAAGATTAAAAAAGTGAGCTAACATGTACTTTTTTCTGATTTTCTACGTATGTCACATGATCATTTGATAAATGAGGGGTGTTCTGTTAACAGGGAATCTAAACTATAACTAGTTATTCAAGGCTACTACTGCTCGCTATTATTAGTCAGATTTTTTTGAAATTTTCAAATTTAAAAGAATTTAACCTAAAGATGGGAAATATTGTTTAGTTTTAAGCTTGTAGCATGATTTCAATCAGCCCCCTTTTTTGTAAAAATAACAAAGATTCCAAACATTATCTGTCTGCCAAAGAATGTCCTTATAAAATATAAAATTTTATCTCACTTACCATATGGAGATCTGGGATAAAATGGTGTCTGTTCATTTTGTGGTGTTTCCACTACCTTGCCATATAACTCTGAGGTAGATGCTTGATAGAATTTCACTTTATTCTCCATGCCACAGGTGCGTATGGCATCCAATATACGTAGTGTACCAACGGCATCCACTTCCGCGGTATATTCACTAAGATCAAACGATACCTTAACATGGGATTGAGCCGCCAGATTATAAATTTCTTCCGGTTTAACCATATTAATAATTTTCACTAAACTGCTGCTATCGGTCATGTCACCATAGTGTAATTTCATAAATCCACCTTTGTGGGCCTGTGGATCGGCATATAAATGTTCTATACGTGAGGTATTGAAGGTACTAGCTCTCCGAATAATGCCATGAACTTCATAGCCTTTTTTCAACAAAAACTCTGCCAGATAAGAGCCATCCTGTAAGTATAGTAAATTACATTTATCATATTATTATAGTAATTAAAAAAACAACACTTCACGTTAATCTTATCTTCACATTCGATATTTTATTTTCATATCGTACTTTTTCATAAAATATGATTCATTTTTGTTCTATTATGGTATTTTAACTAAATTTTACACGCCTTTTAATTTCGCTAATTTTCCTGGTAAATTAATTTTTCTTTTTTGATTTTTTTCTTTACATTACCTGTCCCGTTATGCCGGTTATTAGCGCAATACGTTTTCTCTCTTGTGTTTCACCATTTAATTCTTTGTTTGTACTTGTTGTAACATTTTCTACACTATTTTCTTGACTTTCAGCCATTATTTTTTGTTTTTTGGAAAGAATTTTTATTTATAAAATTATATTAAATTTAATATAAACAAATTTTAATTTTATTTCCCGACCAAAAAATGCACTTAGTTTGAACAGCTGCTGGTTTTTTCAGCAACAACAAAAACAACACTGGCGAACAGAGCCCTGCGCCGACAAATATGAACTAACAGCGGCGGCGACTGACACTAAATATGTCGGCGGCGGCTGAAAACCTACTGTAAGCCGGCTAAGTTTTCAACTACGTTTAGTTTTTAAATTTTCAACGATTTTAAATAAAAACGGAATCCGAGAGATCAGAAAGAGGGATTTTGGAAGCAAATATATTGTTTATAACAACAAAAGAGAGCAAGCTCAAAAGTTGTGTGAGAAATTATGCAGGGATGAATAAAAAATTCTTAAAAATTAAAAACAAATCCTTTCTCCAAGTTTTACGAGGATCTGCCGATATTTAACCCTATTCTCCATATAAAACATCTTGCAGAAAATCAGTTTTTAAAAAATTTTGCATTAAGAAAATGATCATTAACGTAAAAACAAAACAAATAAAATTATTTATTTGCTAGCTATACCCAGTGTGCTGTGCTACCTTAAAAGCAATATAAATAAGAAACCCATTTAACGATTTTTATGATTCTAACTACAATGATTTTCCAGATATACAATTTGTTACATACGGGAGATTCCACGCAAATTATTGCAATTTCGCCAATTATTCCGAACGTTAATTAAGATTTTAATTTAATCTATGAAAAATTTAGCAAGTACTAGCAATGTTGAGGAGTCAAATCCTAAAAGCGAGGAGGAAATCACTCACCCGCCAGAAGACAGAACAGCAATGCTCTCCAGAATTGGGAATGTGTCTATTAAAAATACTGCTATTCCTATGCCTGATAAGGACACCGCAGTGCCATCAACAGTACTCACTGCATTAATAGCCACTTCAGGCTATCCGGAGGAGTCAAATCCAAAGAGCGAGGAGGTGACCACCAACTCGCTGGAAGACAGTTTAATGGATGACCATGATTGAGGTTATCCAAATAAACCTCCATCGGAGCGAGACAGCTACCAACGCTCTGATGGCTAAAATCAACACAGGTAAAATACATATAGCTTTAATCCAGGAACCTTGGACGATTCGCAACAAGGTTTCTGGATTAAATCACGTAAATTTCCAACTTTTCTACGCTGATACAGGATCTCGCCCGAGAACATGTATCTTATGTCACAAGAACTTATGTTTTCTCCTCTCAACAGGATTATCAACATCGGATGCAACGGTGCTGAAGCAAGGTCGAGGCAACATATACCTTGCATCTATTTACCTGCCTTTCGATTCTCCGACCCTACCACCAACGTCGGATCTGATGAAACTGGTTGAAGAGGCACAAAGGAAAAATAAGAAAATTGTAATAGGTTGTGATGCCAACTCGCATCATGTAGCTTGGGGTAGTACAAACACCAATCGCAGGGGACAAGCCCTCATGGATTTCTTTAATACTAAAGACTTGATAACATTGAACTTAGGTAATAAAGCTACCTTCGTCAATAGAATCAGAGAAGAAGTATTAGATATAACTATATGTTCAGAAGAGCTTATAAACGAAATTCAGGATTGGAGAGTTTCGGACGAGCACTCCTTTTCTGATCATCGGTACATAAGATTCAAAATACTAAGGCCACCACCAAAGCCGATAAAGTTTCGGAATAAGTCTAAAACTAATTGGACAATGTTCGGGGCCTTACTAAAGAACCGTTTAGGTCAGGACACTTTTCAATGTCGAAATAAAGAGGATATAGATGCCAAAGTGGAAACGTTCACAAGTGCCCTGGTTGAATCGTTCGAGGACAGCTGCCCTCTGCGAGAGCGGAGATCTGCCCAGGAAAAACCCTGGGTAACTGGGGAGATCCGGAACCTTGGGAAGACTCTTCGCAAACTATTTAACCGGGCACGGCGTAAAAAGACCGCAGTATACTGGGATGAGTATCGTAATAAACTTGGTGAATATAAGAAAATCGTTCGAAGAGCCAAACGAGACTCCTGGAAACTTTTCTGTGAACAGGTAGATAGCGTAAATGAGGTATCGAAGATAAAAAAATTCCTATCCAAAACTCATGTCCAACCGGAATCTATGATCGATGACACGGGCAGGAGGCTTGAGGATATGGAGGAGACAATGAAACTCCTAATGGATTCTCATTTCCCACCCGGTATATCGAATAACATAGATGAACCGATATTGGAGGAAGGGGAGGGTAACACGGAAATAGTTATTACAACTGACATGGTTAAAGGGGCAATCAAGAGCTTTGCTCCCTATAAAGCTGCAGGGCCGGATGGAATTTTCCCGGCACTTTTGCAGGTGGAGGCGGGACTGGTTTCCGTACATCTGTCACAGATATTCACTGCATGCTTAAAATTGGCATATACCCCAGTTAAATGGCAGGATGCAAGGGTAATATTTATACCCAAACCAGGGAAACCTAGCTATGCGACACCTAAGTCCTATCGACCGATAAGTCTTACGTCCTTCCTACTTAAAACCTTGGAACGGATAGTCGATAGCATGGTTAAAAGCAGCATACCATACAATGACCTTAAATATAAGCAGCATGCTTATGTAAAGGGACGATCGGTGGAGACCGCTTTAAATGAAGTTGTCCACTACATAAGTGAATCTTTCGATAGCAAACTGTATACACTGGCAGTATGCATTGACATCGAAGGCGCTTTCAATAACGTGCACACTGATACCCTTATCCAATCCCTAGACCAGTTTTATGTTGACCGGGTGCTCCGTAACTGGATCAACTACATGCTAAGGAACAGATGGATAAGCTGCGAGATGTACGATATAACTATCAGGAAAAAGGTATTTCGCGGTATACCACAGGGTGGCATTTTGTCACCTTTACTCTGGGTCACCACGATTAATAGCCTCCTAAGGACCCTAACCGAGAAAGGACTTAGACCTGTCTGCTATGCAGACGATGTCGTAATACTTTTAAAGGGAAAGGATCCAAATTACTTGTGTAGAAGAGCTGAGGAGGCTCTGAATACGGCCTTGAGCTGGGCTCAACCGAGAGGCCTCAATGTTAACCCGGCGAAGACGGAAATCTGTCTTTTCACAAGAAAGACAAAAATTTCTACATATACTGAACCTTGCTTCTTGGGCAAGAAGATACCGGTGACAGACAAAGTTAAGTACTTAGGTGTAATACTTGACCGGAAATTAAAATGGAGACACCACATAGAGGATAGGATCAACAAGGCACATCGGTGCTGGGCGATATGTAGGAGAACCATAGGCATGAAATGGGGTCTTAGTCCTACTATGACAAATTGGCTTTATAAAAGTGTAATTAGACCAATTCTAGCTTATGCTTCAATAATCTGGTGGACTGCTTTGGACAAAAAGTGTAATATCAAACTACTACAGGGAGTTCAGCGTACATGCTGCTTGGGTATAAGTGGTGCCATGTGTACTACTTCAACCAAGGCTCTGGAAACGTTGCTAGATATTCCACCCATTGAAACATATATAAGATATGAGGCGGCGCTTACAGCCGAACGGCTCTTTACTTTAGGCGAACTGGCCAAAAACGGTTATAGGACACGTCATCAATGTATACTGGACACATTGGAAGGTTATACACATTCATCGGACGTGCCTGATCGCATACCAGACACTGAATATGTCGGAAACTTTGAAACGCTAATCCCAGATAGAATGTCTTGGTCAAGCGGAACATTAGAGCAAATACCAGTAGGAATCCGTTGCTACACGGATGGCTCTAAATTAGGGGACAAAGTGGGTCTGGGGTTCTATATTGAAGACCCAGAAACAGAAATATACCACCGTTTACCTAATCATAACACAAGCTTCCAGGCAGAAGTACGAGCAATAACGGAATGTGTAAATTGGATTAGAATAAATATGGCGCCCACAGGGCTTAATATATTTACCGACAGCCAGAAGGCAATTTGTGCGATATCAGGTGATAGAATTAAATCTAAGACCGTATTGGATTGTAAGAAAGCTTTAACTGAATACTCTCCCAGAGGTAAGGTTCACATCATATGGGTACCAGGCCACTCGGGAGTAGCCGGCAACGAAAGGGCGAATGTAATAGCTTTAAAGGGAAGGGAGCTCGATGTAGTTAACCTGACAAACGCAAAACCATTCGACGCAACAAAAGCTGAATTAAAAATATGGATGAGAGAATCCCATAAGGCCTCTTGGAATAATGAAACGGTGGGTAGAACCACAAAGATTCTATGGGGTGACCCTGATGAGAGCAAGACGAGAAATCTTCTCAAAATGAGCAAGTCTGAGGTTAGTATGATGGTACGTATTCTCAGTGGACACACAGGATTACGAGCACATCTATACAAAATTGGACGTGCGAATTCAGACGAATGTAGAGCATGTGGAGAGGACAGTGAAACTCTGGAGCACTTTCTTTGCCATTGTCAGGCATTCGTCGAAGTTAGATCCAAGTATCTTGGAAGTGATGTTATTCCAGAAATAACATTCTTAACCAACACCGATTGGAAGATTCTTAGGAATTACGTCCAGGAAACTGAGTTTCTGAACATGGAAAAATAATACATTCAGTGAACAATTTTTTTTTTTTTTTTTTTTTTTTTTTTTTTTTCTTGAATTGGAGCGCACAACAGGCCCGATAGTGGCCTAGGTGTATTTCTTCGGATTTGATGTAGTATACATCCTCCTATCAACCTACCTACCTACCTACCTATGAAAAATTTGAATAATCTAATAGTTTCCCAGATATACAAAATGTTGTATTTAATTTATATGGGAAGTGCCAAGTCCCCCATTGAAAGTCCGCCCGTAATTCTCTAAATGTTCTTCAGTAAAATTTGAAGATTGTAGCTCTAATAGTTTCTCAGATATACGAATTTTTTTATTTAATTCATATGGGAGCCCCAGATGAAAGTCCGCCCTTTTTCTCCAAAATGTTCAGATGAATATTAAAGTTCTTTGTGCAAAATTTGAAGAATTTAGTTCAAATAGTTTCCCAGATAAACGAATTTTTGTATTTAATTCATATGGAAGGTTCCGCTCCCCTCATTGGTAGTCCCCCAATTTATTGCCCAAAATGTTTACATGGATGTTAAAGTTCTT